AATGAAGAGGAGGGGGGAATGAAAAGAGTGAACACTAATGTCCATATCACAGTGGACTGAATTCAATCAGATAACAAATATGAAATGCCAAGCATTTAATCTGGCATATAGTAAGCACTCAATAACTGCTCCCTTTGCCAATGGAGCTATACCTGCCACTCTTGCTGTCAGCACACCAAAGTGCTGTTAGACAGGCCTGTTTACCCTGTCCCACTGGCCCTCCAGGGTAATGACCCCCTTCCTAGAGACTTCCCTCTAGGAAGCCCATCCTCCCACCCAGCTTAGGAAAGACACTTGAAGAGGTGAAGAGTGTGTGTGTGCTCACGCAAGGCACAGGGAGGGAGCTTTGCAGCTGTGTGCAGCTGTGTGCGTAGACCTCTGTGGGCAGAGGAGGCCTTGCAGCTGTGTGCATCTCCATCTATAAACACCTGAGATTACCGTGTCCCACTACCTTTCCCTCTCTTCCAGCCATAACCGAAGCAGCTTGGTGGCCATCGTGGTGGGTGTGGGTCGCCTCATCACTGGCATGGATCGAGGTCTCATGGGCATGTGTGTCAACGAGCGCCGCCGCCTCATTGTACCTCCCCACCTGGGCTACGGCAGCATTGGCGTGGGTGAGGAGGCTGGGACACAGGTGGGCAGGTGGGGCAGCCGGGGAGGGCCTAGAAGTTGAATCTCAGAGCCATCGAGTGACTCAGCCACGATTGCACTGCCTAGTCTAATTAATGGTGCTTCTACAGTGAGCATTTTGGTTTTCCTGGGTCTCGAAGGAGAAGAGGTAGATGCTGGGTTGGGCCCCCTGGCTGGAATCAGAGCTTGGGCTGGGAAAGCAGGGATCGGTATGATTCTCAGACCTCACCCATGCCCCATCACAAACATTAGTCCCTGCTGCTGTGCCTACAGCGGGGCTCATCCCCCCCGATGCCACCCTGTACTTCGATGTGGTCCTGCTGGACGTATGGAACAAGGCAGACACGGTGCAGGTGAGCATCCTGCTGCGCCCGCCACACTGCCCCCGCATGGTGCAGGACAGCGACTTCGTCCGCTACCACTACAATGGCACCTTGCTGGATGGCACTGCTTTTGACAGCAGGTAAGGGTCAGGGGGAGCCCTGAGGGCTTGGGGGGGAGGTCTGTGGCAGAGGGAGAGGAACTAGGACCTCATCCTGCCTCTGCCTTGCTTTCCACAGCTATAGTAGGGATGGCACTTATGACACCTACGTGGGCTCAGGTTGGCTGATCAAGGGCATGGACCAGGGGCTGTTGGGAATGTGTCCTGGAGAGAGAAGGAAGATTGTTATCCCTCCCTTCCTGGCCTATGGCGAGAAAGGATATGGTAAGGGCAGGCAGAGGTGAGGAGAATTCTTTAGAGGAGGGGAAAAAAAAGAGCTCTCTATACAATTGTTCACATGTGGTACAAATAGGTGGAGCCTAGCCCTTGGTGACTGTCTTGCTAAGAAGGGCTGCTTTATTGAGAGTCACTCAAAAAAGCTCAGTGTGGGCTGAGGATGGGTGACCGTGTGGAGCAAGGGAAGAGCCAAGGGTGGGAGAGGAGCACTCCCGTGCACCACCGAGCAGACATTTTGGCATGGTGTCTACTTAGGCCTTTCTGTGCCTTGATTTGCCCCCCCCCTTTGTATGGCTCCAACTCTATCCTCTCCCCAGGGACTGTGATCCCCCCTCACGCTTCCCTGGTCTTCCATGTCCTCCTGATCGATGTCCACAACCCAAAGGATACTGTTCAGCTAGAGACGCTGGAGCTCCCCCCAGGCTGTGTCCGGAAAGCCGCGGCTGGGGACTTCATGCGGTACCACTACAACGGCTCCTTGATGGATGGCACTGTCTTTGATTCCAGGTCAGGGGGACTCTTGAGGAGGGCAGGGGGGGTTAGGGGGACCACTCTGAGCTACACGGAAGGGGAGGGGCCCCTTTGACTCCCTCCCTGGCCCTCCTCGCCTTGTATTTGCAGCTATTCCCGCAACCACACCTACAATACCTATATCGGGCAGGGCTACATTATCCCCGGGATGGACCAGGGGCTGCAGGGCACTTGCATAGGGGAGCGCCGGAGGATCACCATCCCCCCACACCTTGCCTATGGGGAGAATGGAACTGGTAAGTAAGGTGATTCCCAGCATCCCCTCTGAACTGCCTCCATGGGACCATGGGACGGCAGCCTCAGCTGATTCTGCTCACAGAAACACCCTTGCTGAAGTCTGGCCACCTGACCCATTCCTGCTCTGTAGACTCCATCTTTTCCTCCAGGATAGTCCCCAATCCCTTTCACAGTGGAGAAGGGCAGTTCACTCCTGGGTTTGGGGACAGAGGTGTTTTTCCTCATAGAAGAATCGATCCAGCACAGCCCAGAAAGCCAAGGCGTCTGAATTTGAGGCTCTAGGTGCCGTAGAGTCCTCAGTAATCATGGATCAGGAGGATGAATTACAGGGTACCTGAAGATAACAAGTAGGATATGCCAGGGGCTGGTGGCTCACGCCTGTAATTCTGGCTAATCAGGAGGCTAAGATTTGAGGATTATGTTTCAAAGCCAGCCCAGGCAGGAAAGCCTGTGAGAGACTAGCATCCAAAAAAAAAAAGTGTGGGCTGGGAAGGTGGCTCAGTGGTAGAGCACTTGCCTTGCATGCATGAGGCCCTGGGTTCCATTCCTCAGCACCACATAAGCA